ATTCTGCTTTATATATTTATTAGAATTCACTAGTGAAGTCATCAAGTCCTAGACTTTTCTTTGTTGGGAGTTTTCTGATTATTGATTCAATCTCCTTACTTATTATCAGTCTTTTCAGATTTTTTCTTTCTTTGTGATTCAGTCTTGGTAGGTGTTATGTTTCTAGTAATTCATCCATTTCTTCTAGTTTATCCAATTTGTTGGGGTATAATTGTTCATACAAGTTGAATATCCCTTATCTAAAATGCTTGAGACCAGAAGTGTTTGGGATTTTGAATTTTTTTTTGTTTGCATTTTGGAATATTTACATCATACATACCAGTTGAGCATTTCTAATCTGAAAATACAAAATCCAAAATGTTATGATAAGCATTTTCATTGAGCATAATGTTGGGACTCAAAAAGTTTTGGATTTTACAGCATTTTGGATTTCAGATTTTCAGATTAAGGATGCCTAATAGTAGTAGTCTACTAACCTGGGGTAGTCTCTTATGATCATTTTTATTTTTGTGGTATAAGTTCTAATGTCTCCTCTTTCATTTCTGATTGTGTGTATTTGAGTTTTCTCTCTTTTTTCTTATTTAGTCCAGCTAAGAGTTTTCCATTTTAGTGATCTTTTATAAACCAAGTTTTGTGAATTTTTTCTATTACTGTTCTATTTTCTATTTTATTTCTACTCTAATTTTTATAATTCTATTCCTTCTGTTAACATTGAGCTTAGTTTGATTTTTTTCCTAGTCTCATATATGTATATATAATATTAATTTCTTTATTTGACATCTTTCTTCTTTTTTAGTATAGGCATTTATCACTACAAACTTACCTGTTAGTATTTCTTTTGATATATCCCATACATTTTTGTATGTTGTGTTCTGTTTTTGTTCATCTCAAGATATTTCCTAATTTCCCTTTCATTTCATCTTTGACCCATTTGTATTCAAAAGTGTGTTATTTAATTTCCATATATTTGTGAATTTTCCAGTTTTCCTTCTGTTATCGATTTGTAGTTCTATTCCATTTTTAATCTGAAAAGATACTTGGTAAGATTTTAGTCTTCTTAAATTTTGGGGGACTTGTTTTGTGATCTAATATGTAATTTTTCCTGGAGAATGTTCCATATGCACTTGAGAAGACTCTGTATTTTGCTATTGTTGAATGGCGTGTTCCATATATGTGTGTTAGGTCCATTTGGTCTATAGTGTTGTCCAATTCTATGTTCTCTGATTGATATTCTGTCTAGATGTTATATTCATTATTGAAAGTGACTTATTTAAGAGTTGTACTCTTATCGTATTGGTGTCTCTTTCTCCCTTCAGATCTGTCAATGTTTGCTCTATTAATTTAGGTGTAGTTATGTTGGTTGCATATATATTTATAATTGTTATGTCTTCCTGATGAATTGACTTTTTTATTGTTATATAATGACTTTCTTGATCTTTTATTTCAGTTTTTGACCTAAAGTATATTGATAAGTACAGCCACTTGTGCTCTCTTTTCATTACCATTTTTGTAGGATATATTTTTGTATCCCTTCAATTTTAGTCTAGGAATATCTTTAATTCTAAAATGAATGTCTTATAAACACCACATTGTTGGATCTTGTTTTTTCTTTTTTTTTCCGTTGAGCCACTGTAGATCTTTTGATTGCAGAACTTAACTTCTTTATATTTAATGTAATTGTTGATAGGTGAGGACTTACTATTGTTACTTTGTTAATTGCTATCAATGTGTATTGTAGCTATTTTTTCCTTCTATTTCTATCTTTTTTGTGAATGCTTTGATTCCTTTCTCCTTTTTCTTTGTTTATCTTCTACAAGCATTTTCTTTGTGATTATCATGGGGCCTACATAAAACATTTTTTGTTATAATAGTGTTTTTTAAGCTGATAACAACTTCAATTGTATACATAGTCTCTAAACATTTACTTTTCCACCCCCACCATTTATCTACGTTATTGACATCAAAATCTGTATATTTTCATATGTTTGTTGGCCGTTATTCTGCCTTCTTTTGAAAAGTTTCCGTTCATGTCCTTTGCCCACTTTTTGATAGGGTTGTTTGATTTTTTCTTGTTAATTTT